CGTTTTGTTGAACTTTCATAGGATTGATTTAGTTCTTTGGCGTTTTCTTTACTCTTTTCTTGGGTTTCATCAGGGGGTCTTATCTAGGGTCTCATACTGGGGTTCATTAAGGGTCAAGGAGGTTGTATTATCATTTTCTAAGTATTAAATATTAATTTTAAATTTATAGAAAATCAATGCAAGTAGACAAAAAAAAATATGTTTGCTTTAATTATATTGGTATTTTATCATGTAGTTAAATTCGTTAAATTTCCTTAGAAATTTAACAATAACTCTAATAGACTAATGGTTATTCATTTATGGGTATATTATCATTATTATTATTTATTATTATTATTATATATATATATATATATTTTTTTTTTTTACCTCTAATTTCATTTATTTCAAATTTCAATTTACTTGCTCTTGACAAGCTTTCTTCCTGCAGATCTTTGTTTGTTTCTTCTCTCCCTCTGTGTAATTGATTTCTACTTGTTGGCTGGTCAAATTTTTCAGCTCTCCGTTCTAACCCTTCATTTCTTTGTTTTCTATCTGTAATCGTACACTTATCACCACCGCTTTTCGAGGCACTTGAGCTAAAATACGTCTATTCGATGATGTCATATAGAATACACGCTAATTTTTTTAACATCACTAGCTCTCCCACAACTGAAAATATAAGGTGTTTTTTTGTTGGCTCTGCGATGTTCAAATGACAACCTGTTGGGTTATACTTGTATAACACAGGCATTATTATTTGTTTTGATATAACGCTATTGTATGCTTTCTATTTAAGACAGAAATACGTGTTATCTCTGTCTAGTTTGCTAGAATCTTGGATGGGGCTATAAAAACTCTAAATGACAGTAATATGGGAAGATCGTACATAGTCAGAAAATTACTTATCGTCTGAATGTGTAGTGGAATATTTTGTTCGATGGTAACCTGGAGTGAATGATTGAACAGTGCGGTATTGAGTTAAAGATAAGGCCCCCTGATGAAACCCAAGAAAAGAGTAAAGAAAACGCCAAAGAACTAAATCAATCCTATGAAAGTTCAACAAAACG